CCAAGTTGTATCGGATTTCAGTTCGTTGGGATGTAGGGATAAGGAATGTCCCAGCGTTCTCATCGCCATCAATCCAAGAATAGACTGTCTTATGACACCAAGAATCGAATGGGCACACAACTGTTATCCTGGGAATGAATCGACAAAATTGTCTCACCCATTAGCGGAAGAAGGTGTCTCGTTACACCATGGATTTGTGTTGTAGTCGGTTTTACGGTAGCATTTGTGCATACATGTTTGAGAGCTCCGCGTGAAATGATAGACTCACCACTGCCGGTATCCACAATAAAAATGTGTCGAGCGCCGGATTCGAAAGCAATATCCCTGTAAATGAACTGCTTGTATTCGCCTATTGTTCGTAATGTATAAATTGGGTTGACTTCTTGACAGCACGGTGTACTCATCATATTGCATTTCCTTTGGTGGCATACCTTCTGAATATGGCTAACTTTACCACAGGAATGACACTTTGCATCTCGAAATCGACAGTTAGACCGCAAATGGAACTGACCGCACGACATACATCGATTGATATTCGTGGTTGGGGTCCTCTGGTCAGAGTAACTGGTCGTCGGATTATGAGGATATCTGGACTACATCCCGGGTTCATTGCTTCGTGAACTACTCTGGAATAACGTAAACGACTCACGGGTTGTTACTGCAGTGAGATCATCATGCTGCTCACATATCCTCCTAGCCTCGGAAAATGTTAGATCCTTCTTTTTCAGCAACATTCTCTACCGATACTTGTTGTTAATGCCTGCAATAAGGCGATCACACAATTGCTCGTCCAGTCTGTCACCATAGTTACACTTGGAAGCCTGTTTGTTGAGCAAAAGGGTGAAATCCCGACAGGGCATTGACTCGGCACGAACCAACGAATTGAATTCTGCCCTCTCAATAGTTTGGAAATCAACAGGAATCACGTGGGCAGGAAGCAGTTGTTTCAGCATCGGGAATGGTAACTTGGCCGGATTGTCGGGGAAAGCGAGATTCTCCAGCAAAGAATACATTTCCCTTCCATCAACCGAGAAAAATAGTATGGATTGATCCTGTTTTCCGTTCTGCCGTAGGCTGCACCAGAGCTCGAAACGTTCGACCCATTCTTCAATCTCAGACGGATGTGAATGTAGATTCAGGGATTCGATAGTGCGCAACCATATGCCGCGACGCCAATTGGAGTATTCGGAATAGGAATCGAAATTGAATAGCGCGAACTCGGTATCGGACTGAAAACCCACTGAATAGCGCAAAGCCAGGTAGAACCAAAGCGAGCTGTAGATACAGTTAATTCTATTAGGAAAATCATGAAAATATATAATAAAAGCAACAAACAATCATTGGTCGATTCTTGAATGTCCAATCGACAGGGATATGGTTTACCACCGAATGAATTTTGGACGGGTGATTGGCCTGTGGCCACTATCAGTCCTTGGCAACCTGACCTGCCTTCTTGCACTCAGCCAATCCGGATGATGCCAATTGAGACCACAGGGCCGGTCGGTTATGCCGCTTCTTGATTGGTTATTTGCAAGCTGTACCACAGTACGTGCGTACTCGTTACACGATCACCATAGACCGCTAGGTTCGTAACTTCTTTGTTTGCAATATGGAACGCATTCACATTAAAAGTCTCTCCCCGACTCGGCGAGAAATAAGGTTTCTCTTTCTTGGTGTTCGCAGATAGGCGAAGAAACCGAAAAATTAAAGAGGTGGATGCACACTCGTGAGCACACCACCGAAGGAATTCTGGACGCTTGAGTGGCCTGTGGCCACTACCAGTCCTTTACAACCTTGCCTGGTGTAGCGCAGCCCACTTTTGGCCGTGGCCATTTACTGTCGTGTGCAAACTGCCTGCCTGACTGAGCTGCTATGTATACTCAATATCTATTTGAGTCGCTTTAGACAATTTGGAACCTAAAAAGCATTTCTGTGCCGACATTGTACATAAGGGACGAAATGGACCAATAGGATCGAACCTCGGTCGGACCACATACAAAACATGACCTCGGACGTGCGTAGACCCATTGTGTAAATTTTTTTTACGTTTGGTGTTCCAAGAATTACCACTGACTTCTTTTGTATTCCAGGTGGAAGTCGTGGAGGTTCCTCCTCCTGCTTATGGAACGTCTTCTAGTGGCGGACCAATCAATGTGGACCTGCCTACAGACCCAACAACTGGAAACAAGCCGACGGAAGAAAAACCATCGAGTGGAAGCGAAAAAACGAAAGGAGAATTAGAGGTTCTACAGCGAAATCGAGTTTTGGCAGAAACGGGTGATATCACCAGTGATATAGAAGATGAAGAATTCGAAGACGAAACATTGGTGGAACGTTTAATCGGTTTAACTGAAATGTTCCCCGAGTCAGTGCGCCGCACTTTCAGTTCAGCTGCTAAAGTTACGTTTTCTGGCATTAAGTCAACCTACTCTCTGAGTAGGAGTGTTTCTTGGTTTCTCGCAAGCACTGCCACACTGTGTTTTCTGCCTTTATTCCTGGAGCTGGAACGTGTACAGACCGAAGAGCAGGAAGCAGTACATCAAAGAACAATGATGCTTGGCCCTAGAGCTGCTGGTGGAGGTTCCGGACTCGCTGGATTTTCATCGGCTGTCCCTCATCTTACCCCAATGGACTCAAAATAGTTTACTAGTCCTAAATTGTACTGAGTACTTTTTATTACAATTATCTTATCTCACTGCAATTTCCCTATTGTTTATTAATTGGAATCAAATGCAGATGCTATATTTTCAGAAATGTAGGTGGTTAGTAACGTTTAATGATCTATGACTGCATTGGTCAATATGCGAACGAGGTCCCTCGTTGCTTAAATTAATATGAACCGCACGAGTTCTGTTTCACGGTTGGGAACATTTACAATGCTCGATGCAGTTATTTTTATCTATTAGCCTTGTAATATCAACCGAATAAGTACCGATAGCATCGCAGTAATGCACTTAAGATGTGCTGAGACAGTTGAAGCAGTAAGTAACCCGCATCCAGCTAGGAACCAAAAATGGTCCTATCAAAGGTGATTAAAACTTCCGGATACGTATAGTTTCACTTACCGAGTTGGAACTACTTACTTTACCTATGGGCGACTGACTCCTGTGGGAGGATAAGTCGGCCGCTTGGAAGTCTAATGATGTCGACCCATGCATGACGATTGACAGCAAGGTTGACAGTCTGAGACCAAGTTCTAGCTCGTTACTAATTCCATATACGGATTGGAGGTCCAGTAATTCCAAGTTCGCCTTGATCATACTGCTGCGGATCTTCAGTTGACCACCGAGTCGCCAACGTCATCCACGGCATGGCTCGGGGGCTACAGCCTGTCGCGACAGTTGAGTACCGGGCCTTCGAAGCACATGGCCAAACCAGTCAAAACATCGGCGTTGTAGCATTTTCGAAAGTTTACCGATGTTTAAGCAGCGCTCTCGAACCTCCTCATTGGAAATCCGTTCTTTCCAATTTAATTTTGAGATGCGGCACAAGCACCAAAGACCTCGAGCTTCATTGTATCTTGTACTCTTAGTGGCCCGGTTTCACAACTATATGTGGGTGGAAGCTTAGTGTTTAAGCTTATTTCGTATCGATTCCACAACGGTTCGAGGAGTTGCAGGAAGGCTGTTCTAGCTCCATCTTCATTGAGTTGGATTTCATCATTAACCTGGCCGTTTGACTTGATTGCAGATCCCGGATACTTGAAAACCTCGGTTAATTCGACATGCTCCCCGTTAGTGTGAAAGTGTTCTGTTCCCGGTATCACCCACTTAAGCAATTTTTCCAAGCATATAGATTCAGAAGCTAACTGTGCTTATGATTCCTGCTGATCGTGGAGATAACAGTAGGTCCCCAAACAGCCAAATAGATCAAACGTAGAGTTTTATTTGCGGTCTAAAGCTGAAATTATTGTTTCGTTTTGACTTTCACTATGTAAGCCATTTCCTCTACCTCGGTTGTTTGCTCCCGAATGCTATAGAGTGAAGGTTGGGTTTCGTTTATTGCGATTCTACGGTGAGCCTTAGTATGGTTGGGGGTGTGCCTAGGATTACGGCTGATCACTTTCCCTGCACCTCACGAAATGCTCCTATACGACCGAACGTCTCGAATAGCATCTTTTGAGGAAGCCCTACTCACTGTCTTCTCTTGGCGGAAGTGTTTTCACCAAAATGAGAGGACGAATAGCCGATAAC